TGCTCTGACCACCTCCAGCTCCCCCCTCAGTGTCCTCACCAGCTCAGGTACGCCCTCCGGACAGCCTGCTCAATCTGCCTGGGACGCCTACAAGGGTTGGTCCCACTTTTTAATCTCCTCCTGTCCTTAACTTTGCTTCTTATCAGTCTGTGAAATAGAATTGCTCTTTGTAAGGTTTCTGGTCAATAGCAAATGTCACTTTACAATAAAGTATAATAGGTTGGCTGTAGTTAACGCATTAGATATCATGAACTAACAATTAACAACAACTTTACTTTTTTCATTAAATAGCATTTATTAAAGCTACACTGTTTTTTTTTTTGTTTTTGTTTTTTTCCTCTAAGAATTGACATTTTTTTAAATAATGAGCTAGTAAGAAAGTCAGGGGCCATATTCATTAAACATTCTTAAAACTAAAATTCTTAAGAAAAAAAGTTTTCCCATAAATGTTTCTTGTGGGGTGTTTTGGTGTGGTTAGTGACGTGTACCACGAGGCAGATACACCTCAAGCCATCAGTGCCAAAAAGGGCCAAAAGTTACATCGTGTAGCTTTTATTTATTTAGGTTAATGTTCATTCATAATACTTGAACTAATGTTAGTTTATGCTTGATATTAAATATATATTGGCATATGTAGAAATGTTAAGATTAATAAATGCTATATACGTGTTGTTCAATGTTAGTTCATGACAGTTAATGTTAAAGGGATAGTTCACCCAAAAATGAAAATTACCCCATGATTTACTCGCCCTCAAGCCATTCTTGGTGTATATGACATTCTTTTTTCAGACAAATACAATCGGAGTCATATAAAAACATTTCCTGGTTCTTCCAAGCTTTAGAATGGCAGTGAATTGTGGTTGAGATTGCATCCATCCATCATAAAAAGTGCTCCACACGGCTCCGGGTGGTTAATAAATGCCTTCTGAAGTGATGTTTGTGTAAGAAAAATATCCATATTTAAAACTTTATAAACCGTAATCTCTAGCTAACAGTCGTACGCATGTTCATTAGAGAGTGGTATTCCAGCGTAGGATGTAGGCGTAGTGTAGCATTAATTTTTGGGTGAACTGTCCCTTTAGCGAATTGAACCTTACAGTAAAACAAATGTTGCCAATTACACTAAACCTAAACAACGGAGTAATGATTTTTTTTACTCTTGATAATTCTCATCCGTTGCTTCAAAGAGCTGTCTTTTGTGATTTGATCACTGACGTTGCTGTCTGCGGTTTCTGCTCAGTCTCGTTTGCTTTACATGTCTGTGTAAGTGAGAGCATGTGAAATTTGAATGGTAAGATGTGTGATGGCTTAGTAATGTGTCAGAGCTGGTTCTTGTTTTCTCTCCTCTGCACAGCGGGTTCCTCTCCCACCTCCAGTACTAGTTCTTCTGTGAACCCCATGGCGTCTTTAGGTGCTCTTCAGTCTCTTGCTGCGGGTGCTGGAGCAGGTCTCAACATGAGCTCCCTAGCAAGTAAGAAAAAGAAAGCTTTTTATTTTTGAATTTGTATGAGGTCAGATGGTTTTTAAAGATCCTGTTTACACCTGTTCTTGAAATCCATCTCGGGTGATATGATCACAAGTGGTCAGCTGAGACACATTACCAAAAAAAAGCACATAAGTCAGCACACTGTTGCAGCTAAATTATTTAAATCTTGTTTTTTATTCCTTTGCGTTACTGTACCAGTATGATGTGATCGTATAGGTGTTTTGAAGTACCTCTGAATGCACATTTTGGACCCCATTCACACGCTTGTTTAGCACTGACCACATGTGACCAATGACCAACGGATGTTAAATGGGATCTATGTGTCATTCCTTGTGTTTTTAACTTTCTTTGCCTCGTTTCTGTTTCTGCTGTGTCTCCATCTCTGAATGCGGTTTCTCTGTATCTATCAGTAGTTTTGTGTCCTCCCCCGTGTGTGTCTGAATGCTGAGCTGTGTTTCTGTGTGCGCAGGCATGGCTGCTCTGAATGGTGGTCTGGGCAGCGGAGGTCTCTCGAACGGCTCGGGCAGTGCTATGGAAGCTCTGACTCAAGCAGCCTATTCTGGGATCCAGCAATATGCCGCTGCCGCTCTGCCCAGCCTCTACAGTCAGAGTTTACTGTCCCAGCAGAACGTTAGTGCCGCTGGCAGCCAGAGGGAAGGTGAGTACATGAAAGGTCTAATGAGCTTTGAGCAGCTTTTCGAGTTGGGAGATTGCCAGCCTCTGTGTAAGATAAAACTGCTAGTTTATGCCAGTAGGGTCAGCTCTTAGGGCATGTGTTGGCCCATGATGTTTTTCAGTGTGTGTGTGTGTGTGTGTAGACGTGGCTCTTGTGATCACCATCTTAAGGATTCATTCTTGTTTTAAATACGCTGCAACAGCAAGTCCCAATCAGAGCGCGGGTAAGAGATCATTATCACTCTCCACAATGCCCATTTTTCTACATTTTGGTTTGTTTAAAAGTAAGTGGAGATCCATACCAGCAGCTCTTTGCCAATGAATTCCATGAGTATTCTGTGATAGATACAACTTCAAGCCTGTCGGAAGCATCTGTGGCATGCTCTTCTATGCTGCTGGTTTTTGATAATTGATCATTGTTATTATCAGTGTTGAAAACAAAGGGTTTATATTTTTGTTGAAACCAGGATATTTTTTCAGTATTCTTTGTTGAATAGAAAGCTCAGAAACTTTTTAAATAGAATTATAAAAATATAAATAAAAAATGTCTTTACTGTCACATTTGATCAATTTAATGCCGATTAATTACTGAATAAAAGCTCTGATTTGTTTAAAAAAAGTACCGTCACCAAACTTTTGAATGGTAGTGTATATTAAGAAAACAGAAATAGTTTTATTCTTTGTTTTGACTGTCAAAAAATAATAAATTGTGATGTCAGTCTTCATCCTGAAAGCCCTCTTTCCACGTCACCTACTTTTCAGCAAGGCCACAGTTTTCAGAGCTTGCAAGCATTTTTTTTTTCTTTCCCATTCTGACTTCTATATCAGTTGTGAAGTTCTGGACTGATTGGTAGAGCTCAACTGAAGCTTCGCCCCCTTAGCCTTTCGTTTAAAGGCATGTCTCCATGAATGAAGAGCTACATTTGGAAGTCTTTTTTTCTTTTTAAAGATGTATTCTGACAGACTAATCTAATTGGGGGTTGAGGTGGTTGTTTTCTATTTAGATTTTAAGCTGCTGTTTTGTGAGTTTAAATGTACTCTGAGAAATTTTCCTGTGGGATGTTTGTCATTACTGGTACAGAGTGATTGTATTTAACATTTAAGATTTGTACAGATTTTGCCTTTTCTACTTCATAAGCTGTTTCACAATGTAAATCCCAGTAAGTAGAAGCATGTAAGACAGTAACACCATGACCAAACATCAACCTGTACAAAGTAACCAAACAAATGCAAACTCCACAAAACAGCCTTTAACTGAATTTTTTTTAAAGTTTTGTCATTCAATTTGTGTGGTTTTCATTGGAAGTGTAGAGAGTGCAGAATTTATTAAATGTCTGAAATGTGTTGTATAAGGTTAAGGATTTCACGCTACGGTCTACAGAAATATAGCAAAATGGACACCCATGAAGCAGTCATCTGGTAGTTTATCTTTAGTGTATGTATGATTAAACTGTTTGAAAACATTCACACATGGTGTCTGAATTCTTTTTTTTTTTCTCTGAATTTAAAGATGCCAGAAATGCACACCATGCTTTTTTTTATTTATTTTTTTGTGATTTTAGAACTTTTTCCATTAAATTACACTTCATGATTCACTACTCATTGTACTTAATTACATTTTATTTATTTAAATTAAGTTATTAATCTAGCCAGTGCTATAAATAAATATGCAATAGCTGCTGCTGCGGTCAAATTTGTTGTAATTGATTAGTTCTAGGCTAGCCATAAACCAATCAAATGCAATATTTGTACACAGTTGTTCAAGTTATTGTTTGCTTGTAGAGTCATGTATTCAGCAAACTCAAAAAGCATGAAAAAGTTGCGCTTGCAACAAATGAAAACATTCAGTAGCCTTTTCCTTTTACAGTCTTATCTGCAATATTAAATTAATGAAGAACTGTGACAATTCAAACTTCACATCTCTTAAGACTTTTTTTTATTTTTTTAATGCACTTAAGAGCTCATGACCAAGTTATGAAAAAATACATGGTAGTAACAGTTGTCACATCAACAAGGTAGTCATTGTCATCTTTATGATATGACAAAAGTTAGGGAGACCATATATTGAACTACACTCGTAGCTCAAGTGCCACAGCGGTAGGTAGAAAACAGCTGATTTACAAAAAAATGTTGAGTTTCTGTCCATCAGTCCTGCCACTGTTCGGCAGGTAAGTGTCAGAGTTTGCTGTGGTCTTTGGAGGGGTTGTCCACATCTGTACCGCAGAGAGGAGACAGGTGGTTATACTTGGGTGTGATGTTCATTTGGACAGTTATTGAATATGGATCCTGACCGACGATCCGGTGCATGTTTGCGCTGTCCCGCTGGAGCTCTTCAAGACTTTTCTCCGTTTTCATCACGCCACCACTCCTTCCAGAAGGGTCCACTTTTTCCGGGTACAGAGCATCCCCTATGTATTAAAGAAGAGAAACTTTGTCTCATAAAAAGAGGCGACAATTACCAGAATGTCTATTTATTATCTGACACAAATACCTGGTAAAATGCTTGCAAAGCAGTCAGGCGCCACCAGGAGAATAGGCAGCCACTGTTCGCAACCATCCAAAGATCTCTGCCAGGCAAAGAGGTGGAGATCTCTGAGAGCTGGAAACCAGCGCATTCGTCCAAGCTCGTAGAACTGAGGTGAAGCGATCCAGATCTCCTTTGATTTATAGCTTTGCAGCACTTCAGAGGGACTGGACCACTGAGAAACAAGGCAGTGTATTTCCCAAGAGTTAAGCACTATTTGTACCATAGACTGTAAAAAAAAAAAAACATGGACGTAGTGTCCGTGACGTCACGCGTAGGGTTCAGAAGAGCATTTTGAAGCCTAAAGTGGGCGGAGCCGACCGCCGCCATCACTCCCGGATAATCGAAAATGGGCAAAAAGGCGGGACGTTTAGGGCGATTGGGCGACGCACCACCAAAGCGCGAAAGGGAGGGATTTTTTTCTTTCACATTCAACCACAGTGTTACGCTAACTTTCACTGTTTGTTCTGCCTCTAAATAGTCCAATCAGCGTCGAGTCGCGTTTTGTGTAGTCGATTTCTGTCAGACTGAGAATCGCCCCGAGTGCTCTCAGACTTCCATACAAAGATCATTTTTTCTCAAAATGCAGGCACTGCAATGCAATCTCTATGAGTGCCGGCACTAACGTGCTTTCGCCATCATGCGTAACCTTAACTTGTGCAAGGATTGGTGGGAACAGTGACATCCAATAATAGACAGTCCTGTTGTCTATAGGACTTCATAAACTGTTTCACAATGTAAATCCCAGTAAGTAAATCCCCCCCCACAGCAGCTCGTTAATCCTTGGTGCGCTTTATATTGTTCTTATTAATTCGTATCATTATTATCTTATCAGTATTTTTGATTTCCCGTAAGAGTCTGACAAATGTATCTTTTAATCTAGCTAACAAATGACTGTCCAACGTGGTAAACGTACTGTTCAAAACGCACCTTAAAATGAACTATTTCCTTCTCGTCGTGAAGCGTGTGTGGCGTGTCGTGCAGGCAGCAGATGTAGAAGGCGGTGTCGTAGCGCCTCTGTTTGCCGTGCATGCCTATAGGGGTCAGCCAGTTGCCCCACTCGTGTAGAGCCCAGATGTTGGGCAGACACTGCAGCTCCTTGCACATCTTAATAAAATTCGCCGAGTTACCAATAACCAGAGACCTCCACTTGGACAGCACGTCTCTGTCCCACAGTCCGCTCAGTGTGGTCAGGGTTGGCTGGGTGTCACTGTCCCGAGCGTCCTCTGTGCGCACGCGAATGCCGCTTTCCTCGTGTTTGGGGACCGCCAGGAGCACACCGGACTCCTCAAACGTCTCTCTCACCGCACATATCCTGAAAGCCACGTCTCCGGGGATCGGGGATCCCAGCTGCGCTCTGTCAGTGGCGAAAATGGGTGGTCTGGTCTCCGGCGGCTGCTTCGCAACTCCGATGCCGTAGTAGGGCGCTTTCGTAAAGGATTGAAAGACCTCCTGCCAGTCGCTGGAGAAGTCAGACGCGTCCACCAGCCCCCCGGGAAACACGTAGGCATTGGGCATGAACCCACTGTTCTCGCTCCGTTTCAGCAATAGCACTTGATAATCAAAGGCCGATTTGTGCGCTATATGAGTGGCTTTTTCCAGACCTGTTTTAAGAGAGTCCGCGCTCTGAGCGTGTCTCAGCCCGGCCGCCAAGATCACCGTCGCCGCCTCCCTCCAGTGCTTCAGCGCCGTGTTCATCTTGGCCCTCGCTTAACTTACATGTTACACCAAAAGTTACACCTTTCAACTTCGGTCAACTAATCATGAATGGCGCCAACAAGGACAGCGCAGAGAAAATAATAGTGCATTTATTCTGTATTTGGTGATTGGCGCCATCTACGGCGAGGGATGAACGCTTGATTTTCATAACTTTGCCACATTCTTATATGAAGACCTTTTTGTCTCATTGGAGAAATTTGTATGCTACAAGTATATTCCTTTTTTAATATATTGATTCATGAGTTCAACCAAATCCAACAATATACTTACAAAATCCCAGTAACCGCTGAGAAACGTAACGGGTATCACGTGACATCTGTCCGCGTTAAAAACGACCCGAGTACTGTCACGCGACGTCACACTAGTGATGGGAAGTTCGGTTCTTTTCCGCGAACCGGTTTGCTAAAAAAAAAAAGATTTTGTTCTATATTAATATTAACATATACATACATATACAGTACATAAATAAAAAAATAAATACGAACATATATTAACATAATTTTTTAAGGTGAACGCAGTAGACAGGCGAAGCACACGTGCATCACTTTTAGGTACGTTCATAATCCTGTGAAACTTTTTTTGGATGTTGACATTAATAACGTGTTTTAATGTCGGTAATAATATCACCGCCGCATCTGCCTTAATATTCCCTCAGACTTTCCATGTTCCCTTACGAAAATGAACCATAATTTTACAACAACAAAAAAAACACATGGTTCTTGTAGCAGTGGTAACCACAAATTAACCATGGTTTTGATACTTCAAATCGCTTCAAATAATAATTTACGAAGTATTCAGATAATATTTTTGTGTAAATAAAAACAGACCTAAGCGAACAACAACCTTTAAAATGACATAAAATACATTATATAAAAACAATGAGGCAATAATGATTGGTTAATTAATAATAATCGTATGGTTTCATTGAATAACACTGTTAAAATACATAGTGTAGGCTAATACAAAATAAACAATTTATGTACATTATATTATTACAAATGCCTGCAAAGGGCGCCAAGGGCCTGGTAATTGCTGTTGTAACACTTACAGGATGATCAAATCCTTGTTTAATATTGACCAAATATTTCATTCAAATATCCACTTAATCTTTCCTGTTTGGCCACCTTTTTGCGATAGAAATGCTAGCCTCTATAATTTCTTCAACAAAAACATGTGGACATCACAACCTTTACAAAAACTAATCCTTGGTTTTAATCGAAGTAAAACTGCTTTATTTTCTTTTGTGTGATTTCTGAATGCTTGAGACCATAAAATCAATCAGACAACTGTATTAATAAAATCATAGCCATAGGCGACTGTCTAGCTACAATTGTAATTTGTAAATAATAAAATTTAATTACAATGTAGTTATCTACTTTTATATTTTATTAAAGTTCTGTTTTGACCCCTATAGTAGGTGTGTTTTTTTTAACTTCCATAATATTTTGGGGAGGGGGCACAACAATACAATTCTGCTTAGGGCACCCATTTGGCCAGCAGCGGCCCTTCTTGTACTGCAGTTCTGTGCATGTTTTGCCCGCCAGGTCTTCTTTTAGACCCATCTAAGCACCTGCACATTTTCCCATTGTCATGATAAATATATTTCTAAGATATAGAGTGCAACCGCAACTGAATTCTACATGATTATTTTAATAATCCTCCTATGGAGAAAATGAATGGGATTTTTTTTACTTCCAGAACCCCATTATTGCACTCTGTTACAAGTAATTCTATAATAGGCTACTTAAAGATGTGCATTAATACAATTATTAATCTCCTGTGATTTTAGGAGTCTGAGTAAATTCATACAATGGGTTGTCCTAAAGTCATTGTTTGAAAATATCTGTTTAGCATTCAAGGAAAAATAATTTACAATTCATAAATTGGAGTTCAATAAACTTGGAAAAAATATTCTTGTACAGAATATTGCTATTCTGTACAACAAACTTGCATATAATAACACACAATTAGTAAAAAAAATAAAAAAAATAAAGTAAAATCATATCGCTGTGACCTGGGAAAGACTTGTAATACCTGTCAAACAATGGATGGTCAGGCATTAGAAATAGAAAGAAAAAAAAAGAAAAAAATCTGTCCATTTGCAGCCATGTTCCCTTTAAGAATACTTTATCCACACTTCCATGAATCAGTCTGTTGTCTGTTGCTGGTTATTATTACATCGGTGTCTGTCCTCCTCCAGTGTGATATCTGTCACTCAGTCTTTTCAGGTGGAACAACTTCCAGTAGCAGCTGAAGGTGCATGGTGAGTGGCCCTGGAAGGGTTACCGGTTCAAATTTAAGAATTTATGGGAAGAGATGCTATTTATTAGCCATTTCTTGACTAAAAGTTTTTGGGACTAGGATAGTAGATAGTAGAGAGTTTTAAAAATGTAATTACTGTATACAGAATGAACCTATTCACATTTGGTGAAAATGAAAATATTAAATCAATTTAGAAAATTGTAAAATATTTATTATATACAGTTTTGTTTATGTTCTCATATTTATTTATGTTTTTGTGATGTGTAAAGTCATAATTGTTTCATTATAATACTGTTTTGATCGGTTTGCTAACTGCAATGTTTACTATTATTTACTATTTTTCATTGTGTGATTTTTGGTGAATTGTATTTAAACCAGTTGTGTTCAGTTTGACCCACAAACATTAGAAAAACTATTAATTATCACAGTATATGGAACCTACAACAATTAAAAAACAAAAACATACAAAAATGTATCGTTCCTGTTTTTTAATTCATAGATACAAATTTAGATTTCAATGATATTTTGACCACTGAACTATAGGCAATGTCCCTAGTTTCATTTCATAAATCTGGTCACCTTACTTACAATTTATTAAGGATCAAAACAAACATAGGTTTTGCTCACTGAAATATATCCAGATGTGTAATTTCCAGCTACTTACTCAAATGCAGTTGAATTTGTAGTAAATGAAGGGTACATATAAGAGAAGACCACCGACTATGAACACTGTGCAGTACAGGTACTCCCACTCAGGCTTGTCTATGATGGGAGCAAGAACCAGATAACAGGACACAATCACCACCAAAACAGGGATGACTATTGGCACCTGAGAGAAACAAAAAGCAAACATTTTTATGTTGGGTAGCCATTTTACAATAGATTACCATAAACATAACATAAGACTTGCTATATTAAACTTTATTTATTAAAAACAAACAAAACAAAAACTAAATTTTTCAGTTCTTTTAAAATATTTCCACTCTAGCTTCCTCTTGAAAGTTGGCTTCTGTGCCACTGGGAATATTATGGGGTCATATCACAAATAGCTTTTGATGTTTTAGAATTTTGAAGTTGCTTTGGATACTAGCATCTGCTAAATGATTACATATCCTCCTGAGAACCAGAAATAAAAAGCTTTGTGAATTTTTTCATGTCGTTACATTGTTTAGAGCATGAGAAAAAAAAAAAGGTAAAATAACATTTTTGGAAAATTATATTTTATTCATAAGTTATGATATGTGTATTAAAGTGCTGTTGAGACAGCATGTTGAAAAAAGAAGTGTAATAATGGGAGTAGTAATTGGCCAGATTTTCATAATAATATCTAATATTTCATAAGAATATTGATATGTAATTTGTTTTCTTATTCAATTCTTTTGTCTCCCAAAATGTGTAATAAACATTTAGCTTTTAGTCCTGGTGTCCTCTACAGTGGACATCTATGAAATTATGTCCTGTTTCATAACAGGAAGTCATATTTTGATTTGAAACCCCATAACATTTTCCTGAGATGTTGATTTATGACAAACAATTTGAAAATTAATCAGATTTAAATTATAATTACGAAATATTATCATATTTCCATAAGGATGTACAAATTTATCACTAAATTAATGTCAGCCATTTTTAAAAACCAAGGAGAGGGAGTGGTCATGGTGAAACATCCAATCGTTTGGTATCTCTGGAAAGCCCTGAATGTGCTCTGTACAGGACATCCAGACTTAAAACTGTGACATGTAATGTCTCAGAGAAATTCACTAAAATATAATGTCCACTACAGAGGCAAAAACTCCATAGCTGGGTCTCAGGACGCAAATAACGTTTCACACTGATGTACGACATGATCCTAACCATGTGTCCCTCCCGTCCTGCCACATATGTCAGCCTAACATATACAAACAGACACAACAGACAGTGAGAGTCAGGCCCAGAAAACAACTTTCAGTAATTTTACAGTCTGCAAACTTCTATAAAACAGCTGAATTTCCTAACCTGCCTGCGGTGAAACAGCTCCCATTGGCTGCACCAAAAGTGGAAAAGACCACAAATAAAGGCACAATCCATGATAATGGGTACAGCACTCTGTCACCAAAGGTCTGTGAAGTAACCAATGATTTAGTAAAATACAACTCAATGATCATTTTACATCAGAAAGGATGTTAACTGAAAACTTCAAATAAACGGACATTAACGATAATTCTCAAAAACCACTGACCAATGAATTTCCATGATGACTTATCCAATTATTTATGATTAGAGTAAGGGTTTTAAAAATCAATTTTTAGAAATTGTGCTTGCAAAACCAATTATTTGGCCTATTGCATATTATAGAACTAAGCATAATAGGGGGGAAATTATATAGAATATAACTTTTTCTAGGTCTGGAAATCACAGACTTAAAATTCCCTGATATTTTCAGGTTTTCCTTGGTTGTGGGAACTATGATTAGTGAAGTTTGCTTTTGAAGCATTCAGAGCAAGTATCAAAGTATCGTGATTTCAGTAAAGGAGGCTGTTATGTCATAATGGTTTCGAAATTTCAATGGTGCATTACTAAGGGTCCATAAAACAGTGTCTGTATGGTTTTTACCTGATCCCGGATCAATTTTATACGTTTGTAGACATTTTTGATGACACATTTGTATAATAAAAGGGAAAAGTTATAGATATTAGTTTCGTATTGGCCTGATTAACCAAGCTCTCCATAACCAAAACAAGCACTACAAATTAATACAATAACACGTATTATTTAAAGGCACATCATATTTAAAGGCATTAGATGATTTGGTAATTATTTAATATATTACACTTTCAATAAAACATTTGCAATCTGTAAAACGGGTTTTTTTTTTTTTTTGCATTTTTGATCTGAGTTTTCAGTGCATTTACAAAGTTCTGACCAGCAGGTGTCCCCAATGTGTGGTAAGTGAAATTAAAAAATTAAAAAAAAAAGTGAATAATTTATAATTTTTCAATTGATTCTCCCATCACTGACTATGACAGTGGCTGCATTCGAAATTGCATACTTTCCTACTATACAGTAAATTCAAGGTAGGCTACTTATGACAGAGGTGGCAAAAAGTACCCAGGTGACTTACGTTACCACTTCTGGCAACACTGTGTGTATAGAATGGACACTTTACTATCCCATCTGGCCATGGGAGGGGATTTGTTAATGGCAGTGAAGCAACGTAACTGACGCTGGTAAGTCACGTGATAATTACAACATGGCCAATGTAGTACGTGTTTTACGCGGTCGCAAAGTAATTACTTATTCAAAAGAAGCGATTTCCGACATATTCCGTGACTGTGACTATAATACACACTCACCACAGCAACGGCAGGAGACTGTAGAAGTTCAATAGGGGTCAAGACACTGAGATATGCGATGTTGACAAATATATAGCACACAGTTACCAGGGGAATCCCAATAATTATTGCCAGGGGAAGGTTTCTGTTCAAAAAAGAGATAACAACACAAGACTTCATGGCTAACACTGAAGCACAGACTACATTTAATGGGAGAAACTTTCACATGCACATGTAATTATAGAATTATTTTATTACGGATTTCATATGTTGTAGAAAAACAATACAAATGTAAAGTTTCATTTCAGTCTGACCTGTATGGATTTTTCAGCTCTTCTGTTATGAAGTTAAGCTGATTCCTATGAGAAAGACAAAAGGACTTTAAAAAGAATTGCCATAGCTGACTGAAGCTGACTTGTAGTCTTGTGCATGCTTCTCTCAGAACAATAAAGCCCTGGATTGAGAATGATCTGGTGAAAGTCCAGGCAACTAAAAAAAGATCCTACTGTTTTGAAGTTTCGACAAGCATTCAATTCCCTTTTCCCATTTCAGCACATCTCTCACAGGTGCTGAAAATCCACTCTTATCAGATGTTGCTTTAACAGAGAAATCATTAGATTGTGTGAACGATTCCCAGGGCTGAAAGCACACTAGAGTGTTGATTCTATGGATCTATTAGATTCTAAAAACAATAGGAAGAATCTGTGTGTGTATTAAAAGTTTCAAAAAGATGAAGACTGCTGTTTAGCATTAGCCTCATATGCCACGTGCAACATTATATGAGCTCATCAATAATTTACCATCCATCATAAGCCCATTGTCCATTGTAAAACGCAAGGCCAATTGCTCCAAATGATGTTGTTGCCCCTGCAAATGGGTCTCTAAGATTCTGTGTATTGCCTATAAAACAATTTTAACAAAAGACACATTTTATTGATCTGTCATTGAACATTTACACTGTCTCTGGCCATAGTCTATGATGAGTCATCTTTCTCAACATAATAAAATAATAATTTCTTTATCAAAATGTATTTGATCCCAGTCTGTTCAATTGAATAATAAAATACTAATGTTGTTTGCAATGTCAGGTGTCAGTAAAAATTAATATCACAAAGACAGAGACAGAGATCTCAGGGGATGGAGAGGTATACCTTGAGCCAGCAGAACGATGCCTGAAACCACGATGATGACAATAATCAAGAGTTTGGCTGCTGTGAAAAAGTTCTGCACTCTGTATGCCAGCTTCACACTCAGACAGTTGACGACTGTAATTATTACTGATGGAGAGAACAGACAACAGTTGAGTCCAGTATAATGTCATTTGAATATAAAAAGGGCCTAGGCCTGTATATACAGATACAAGCTGCAGCCAGGCACTTGGTGACCACTTGAGGAGGAGTGCACTCTGGGTAAAACGATGTGGAGGCGTATTCGGCACAACTCAGGGCGATGATGGCAAATGACGAAGGCTTTAACATGATGATCGTGCTCCAGGAATATAGGTATGCCAGCACTGGCCCAAAACCCTCCATCAGGTACGGATACTCTCCACCAGACTTCATGATCATTGTGCCTAGTTCAGCATAGCAGAGGGTCCCTGCACACGCATGCACAGGTAAACCTCTTAAGTTTCTCAGTGTTCAAGCTGAGGTCAATGAGTCCGTTACTGAAAGGTCTTCTGCAGGCAGAGTCAGTATTAAACTAAAGAGGATTTCGGTGTCTTGTGAATTTTCCCAAACATTATGTGGCTTAAAAAGACTGACTGAGGGTTTCTGAGTGAGTGAACATATCTGATTAACCTCCTTGCCTTTGCCCAACTATAATCTCAGGAGAAAGTGCAGGGTCGCAAAATAAAGATTGCGATTTAGATATTTGTAACACATAATGCAGTAAAACAACAGCTGCAATGGATGGAGCAAAAAAGGTTCTAACATTATTTAATACATCTGGCAGAATGAACTAACAATCTTGGTTAATGTTAATTTTTAAATATGCTGCTTAAAATTTCAGTTGTCATAAATTAATTGTAGTATGTATTTATGTATTATGAACAAAAATGAATTAACATTGAACAGCAGCATTTTTTAACATTAGCATAAATACAATAATGTTCATTGTTTATGATATCTAATGCATTATCTATTGTTCATTAACTGAACCTTATGTGTTAGCAATAAAACATACCGTATATAGCACCAATTAATAAAGCAGCAACCTATGGACATAAATGACGTTATACTATATTAGAAAAAGATTGTACTTTGCTTTAAGAAACAGTGAATCTTATTGTTACATCATATGGAGAGATTATCAAACAGCCAAAACGAACATGACACGATACATGAGGTGACAGTGCTTAATCTCACCCATTTATCTTTGTTATGAGGGTTTATCAAGGCTTTTATACAAGCTTATAGATACTGTGTCTGTTGTGCGTATACTGACCCAGCGTAGCCAGCACACCACACGCCGCCCACACACACAGACATGGACCCACTGCTCCAGTCCCCTCCAGAACCACTTTGGGAGAAATGAAGATCCCTGAGCCGATCATTGTTCCCACTATCAGACAGATGCCACTTACGAGACCCACCTGAGACATTCAGTACGACTTGAGGTTAAAGGGTCTTGGTTTCATTCATTATGTATAGCAATTCAGTTATCGTGAAATTAAAATTAGGGATGCATGATGTATCGATACCACATAAGATTTTTGTATATATTTTTTACTATAGCAATATTTGTTGGATACTTTAATGCTCATTTACTTTATTTTGTACATTCAGGTTAGCTTTGTCATTTGTCATATATATATATATATATATATATAGACTAAAGCATTAAAAAAGTACTCAGTTTTAGCCAGTCTGATGAGATCCTCCAGTGTCCATCCTGTCGTTGTTGTTAATGTATCAAGAAAGGTTAATATATCGTCTTCCTCTGCACCTTGTACCCTCGATCTTTCCCATCATGATGTCCTTTTCCAGTTATAATACATTTTGTTATAATGTTTTAAATGTTTACATTTTGTTTAAATGTGTAAATGCATTTAACAGGATCGATTCTAGTTTTTAGTGTTTATTTTATATAGAATTGCCAATTAATCGGTTATCGACAGTAACAACTAATAATTCAACTTATGCATCCCTAATTTCAATGATCTACATGATCTCAACCCACTATTATCACAGAGAGAATGAAGCTTGTAGTTTGGTCTATATCCCTTATATTGCCGGAATTTATTTTGTTTTAATATAAGCTAAAGCTATTTGTCCTCATGCATGCAAATGTACATATAAATAGTCAAACTTGTCATTAGTGGGAGTCACAAAAGAATATACAGACAGAGGGGTCAGGAAGGGAAGGGATTACACTGCAGTGATGGCGACAGGCACTGCCAGGTTAACCCACAGTTAAACCCTTCACACACTAGACACACATATGCACCGTGTCTGGATGGAAACCAGTGATCATGAAACATTCTTCACATTCTTATGTGTGCTCATAATGAGTAAGATTATCTTTCTCTCTCACATTCTTCTGCAGAACTGCTGCTTTTGGCTGATCGTGCTTTTTGGCTTCCACTGCACCCGAGACGCTCCCATTGTGAGTGTTCGCCTTTTTCAGATCTTCATCCATTGTTCACAGGATCAACTGTCCAGTCTTATTTTTGTGCAGTCAGACTGAATAAATACAGACAAAAATATAGTATACTTTTTACTATAAACATAATTACACAGTACGATCAATTGAAAAAAAAAAAAGTGAATAAAAAAAAGAAGAAAACAACCAAGCCTGAACGTGCCTCTGTCTCTAAAATACAGACAGGAATCTAACAAGCGAAGTCTAAATCTAAGGAATAATACTTTTATTCTCAGTGTCTGTTGTTTTGATGTCTTGTGCTTGTGTAGCTCATCATGTCAGATTACTTCAAGCAACCTCAAGGCCAAGATAAAGGTTAAAGACATTATATTGTTTTAAGTGTTGCTAATGCAGGTGACCTTGTGTCAAGCTGTTGTGGGCTCTCTGACAGAGCTATTTATTCATACACAATAACATCTGCTTCAGATCAATTTGTCTCCTAGCAACTACAGTACAATAGCTAAAGGTTCAGTTTATACTAGTCAAGAAGCACTGACTAGAATCAACTGCAAAAAGTGTGCGGGAATCCAAGAAAAATTAATACTAAAACTACTAAAATTCTGCTGTAAAGTCAGTAGAAGAGTTCACATATTTTTTATGATTAAACCTCTTTTAAAACCCATTTATTTGTGCATCCGGAATCTTTTCTCATTCTACACAGATAAGAAATTAAGACACTGAGACTGATGTCCACAAGCGACTACTAATGCTAAGCCTACTGAAAAGAAATAGCATGAGTAAATTAAATGGGATTTGTCTATTGATTTGGAGACAGAAACATCCATGCAGCCATTATCTGGATGGTCCATTGTGTAGCCCTATAAATACACTCACTTAACTTGAAGATTCACAGTATAAACAAACACACATCAATATGTCAGTTAAGATCACTGTTTCCTTTTCTGCCAAACGTTTATCATGATTGTAAAAATATTTTTCACTACTGACAAAAAATATCACATTATCAATAACTTGATAACAAAAATAAGGTACTGAAAGTTTTCTTAGTGCACTTTTTCAGGTGCAGTTAGCAAGACAAACTATAGGTTGACTCAAGCTTACTTCCAGTGCCACCAATTCCACCGTCACATGAGAATCATATTTAACTTGAGGCATGAGGAGAAAGACAAACCTGCAATGCAATCAGTTTTTCCAGCAGATATCCCAAGTTTTGATCCATATCCAAATCCATGTGTTTAATAACCAACAAAAGTGGGTGGGCCTTCCAATGTTCAGTCATTCTCCTGGCTGACCGTGATTGAAGCAAACACGTGATAAGAAGGAGGAGAGGGAGCAGACTCTGACCAACACAATACTCCTTTGAAAGGGACACTTGATAGGGTTCGGGTGGAAATAAAGAGGGGGTAAGAGTATAAAGCTAAGGACAGAACAGAACAAAACAGAACCGCCTCAGATGAGCATGAGCCAATGAGCATGGTTAACTTTGAAGTCAGAACACAGTGTATCTCTACATAGAGTTCCACAGAAAACAAGGCATTAGATAGCTTGCTGCTGAATTATTATTATTATACATACAACTACTTGATATGAACTTCAAGAATGTAGGATGTAAAAAAAGTATTTTCTCATTGCACCCTTGCTGGCGATTTACAGAATTTATTAATCTGGCTTAATGTTAATTTATAAATGTACTTTTGTTCATTGTTATTCATGTTTGTTCATAATACATTCATAAACATTCATTTATTCAACTTGAATTGTCACTGATGTGTTAGTATATGTAGAAATGAACATTAAATGTAGATTAATAAATTAAATAAACTGTAAGAATGTTGTTCACTGTTCATGATATCTAACACATAATATATTAATAATGCTAATGTATAGAACCGTATTGCAAAGTCTTTCCATGTACACTAATAGCAGCACAGCTCTAACTTGCTGTTAACTACCCCAGTGTTTCAACAGTTCCTAATCTCAACAAACTGTACCCTATAAACGATATAAACACTAAATGATACACACCAGCAAAACCCAACATAAACTACTATAGAAAAAATGTGTGAGTTTCAGTTTTCTTGGAGAGCTTTTCTTATATTGTTATTAACACATTACATTACACTCAGAAATAGTGATCTTCGACTCACTACTCCCAGTACACTACCATAACTATATATAATACCAGACAGAGAGACTGATAAGTGAGGTCCAGAGATGTTCATTTTTCTCCCACAAATATTAAAAATGTAATTTCCTTTCATATAGTCGTCATTTGGCTTTATTTGAGACTGAGACAAACAGCCTCACTGTTCTCAGTGACAATCTTCAGAATGTTAAACATGAATTAACCCTGAAATAAATCTGCCTGAACAGAGGTTTATAATAGATATTAGGCAAAGTGAGAATGTCACAGCTGTATTGATCTACTTTGTCCAGAAAGTACCATTATTCTCGTACTTTCATTCAGTTTTCATAATATTTAGTCATAGAGGAACACCCAAGGACATGCAAACCTGTGGCAGGCACCCTTATATAAAACTACATGAATATATCAACAATGTACTCTTCACATGATTCCTTACCTTCAGATGGGCTCCACTTACCCCAAAACGATAAACAGATGCAGTGCATTATCCTGATGTCCGTAATTGTGGCTCAACAGAAAAGAAAATGACAGTCGATGGGTTTCACTTCAGAAATGAACTGAATCCACCACCACTGTCATAAAAATTATTACAAAGACAATATATGAAAGAAAATCATATTTATTATGGTTGCACAGTAATCATTTCAACAGGAAATTTAAATCAGCCTATTTATTTTCTTAATGCACATTTCTGGTCTTGTGCACAATTTATTGGAAAATATTTGTGTTCATAATCTTTTATCAAAATCAGGGATAAGAAAGCATTCAAGGAATAAAAAGGAATTATTCGTGTAATTATTATCAGTAACTTGGCACAGCTGGTCTTGTGATCCACATCAAGGTACAAACCTTGATAAACAGACTGCGATATTCTGACCCAAAGACCCATGAAGACTCGGACGAATGTGTCCCTAAATACAAGTGGAGGTCTGCAGCTCAACTGTCTTTGTTATATAGTTGCCCCATATCTGAAACACGAAATACACTGCTATCAGTCCTTCAGTTTTATTAGAAAGTGCTGACTTCCTAAAGAGTACCGCAAGACTTCTCGATTCTCTAAATTACACTGCAGTATAATTAAATCTGGCCTTTTTGTTGTTTGCCTCAGTTTTTAGTCATTAAGGCTTTGAATGTGAAAAATATGTATGGTCTAAAAAAAAACATAACAGCGCACCAGAGAACAGTCAATGGAAACAGCCCACAGTAATAGAAAAAGAGTACACTATGTGTTTCAATAAGCCATAATTATGAAGGTCCTTGAGAAGCATTGATTTTGTTAGAAAATATTTGTAATGCATGAAACCAGGAGCCAAGAGCATAAAAACCCATATAATTAATAAAATCTGTCTTTAAATTCATCACAAAAACACTCTCAACCAATTAGCTTAGTTATAAGTTTTAAGCATATGTATTAAGTCAGATATCTTATATGTTATATGATATTTTCAAAGTGAACCCTAAGTGAAATTTGTAAATCACTTTAACATTTATACACACACACACATCAGCGGGTGAAACAACATCGCTACAATATCAAGTCTTCTGGAGGCATGTGATCATCTTTATTAAGAAGAGACCACGACAGATGATAAAAGAGTCACCAACAAGCAAAATGGTATCAAATATAATTACATTAATAACAAGACAAACACATTTTCAAATGAAAAAAGCAAAACTAATGCGCAGAAACAAGTACTTAAAAAAAAGAAAAAGAAATCTGTGGCGAATTGGCCTTTATGTCGGAGTGGTTCCTAGCTTCAATGCAGAACTCTAGTGGGACAGACCAGCCATGTGCCCAGTCTGAAACCTGTAACCGCCTGTACAATTAGGGAGAGGCCACCCTTACAGGCCAGGAAAGCAGGGAAGCTTTGCCACAGCACTCTGGGAGGGATGGCTAGATGGACCAACTCTGCGCACTGGACACCTTGGCCACCTGGAAAAATTTGGGCAACACTGTCAGTTCTCCCCAGCGGAACACTGGGAGTAAGGACTAGGGTGTGTCCTGTAAGGTTGTGGTGGGTACATCCCAGTTTGCCATAAAAAAAAAAAATTGGATAAGAAAACTCCAAGGTCCTCCTACATTTTTTGGACTGATTTAGGAAGAGTTTTAGGAGCACAAGTGCTACTAAAAAGAAACGCAAACATAAAGAGTAAACACTATTCACAAGAGCACAACAATAGTGTGACTGAGAGCTTGAAAGGGCCCCAGATGACCTTCCACTGAAATGCTAACCTAGATAAGGAACAATCTATAACTCAGTCTAGACCAGGGGTGGCGAACTCCGGTCCTGGAGAGCCGCAGCCCTGCAGAGTACAGCTCCCACCCTAATTAAAACCT